AAGCATTTGGGAGAGTCCTGTTCATTTCCATAGCTCATCACTAGCCCAGACACTCCCAGCCTAATGTTGTAGGTGGAACAATGGTCCCCAAATATAGACACAACCTAACTCCTGGAATCTTTGTGTGTTAGCTTATATTTTAAAAAAGCACTTTGCAAATATGATTGAATTAAAAATGTGAGCTAGGGAGATTATCCAGGATCATCAGTGTAGACTCAATTTAATCACAGCAGTTCTTGAGGATGTAGGATGTAGAAAGGAGAGGGAGAAGTCCATGTGTAATGACAGAGCGAAATTCATCTCTTTAAAGATGAGGAAAGGGGCCACAAACCAAGGAATATAGGCAGCAGCTAGATGCTAAGAAATAGTGAGGAAATAGACTCTCTCTCACTCTCCAGAAGGAGCCAGTCTTCGACCGTGACTGTAGCCCAATGAAACTGATTGGACTCATGACCTCTGGAACTGTGAGATATTAAACAAAAAACTGTGAGAGAATAAATTTATGTTGTTGTCATAGTATGAGTTATTATAACACAGATATTATAAGCCAAGTATATTTATTTCGCACAGTTCTGGATCCTGGGAAGTGCAAAGTCAAGGTGCCCACAGACCCAGTGTGTGGTGAGGGTCTGCTTCCTGACTTGCTGGTGGCTGCCTTCTTGTTGCGTACTTACATGGTGAAGAGCAAAGAGAGAAGAAGCAAATTGTCTGTCTTCTTATAAGGTACTGCTATCATTATGAGGGCTTCACCCTGATCACCTAGTTACTTCTTAAAGGTATTGTCTTCAAATACCATCACATTTGGTGATGAGGTTTCAAAATTTGAATTTTAGGGTGACACCCTAAAATTCAAATCATAGCAGTTGTGTTAAGCCACACTGTTTATGATAATTTGTTAGAACAGGTGCACTTTAAGTCTTATAAGACAATTATGCAGAGTTGTCAAACTGATTGTATGTAGTGCAAAACACAGGATATCACAATTCTCAGTTCTAAAGATTACATGCTGAGCAGAACTCCACCACTGGTCCTTGTCTTCCTTACCATTGCTGGCACTATTCTGCCCTTATAAATGTGCATGCAGGAACCAAACAGCTTTTCTCTGGATGACTTTTTAGTCTTTAGTTTTAGAAGAAGAAACATTTTACATTCTTTTCAAGGGATGTCTTAGGGAGAAAAAAAATCTAACATTTAATCTTAACAGCTCTTACCTGTCAACTTTATCTTCACTTGTGGTGTGCTGAAGATTTGTCCAGAATAAAGAACTGGGATACCAAGGGTAAATAGAAAGGATAGTGAAAATAATTAGTTTGCTTATTTGGTGCATTTCTATGAGCCTAACTTTGGTGTGCTTGATATTTAACACTATTTGGAATCTTTAATCCCAGGCGTTGGGGTGTAAAGATAATCTTAATAGAATCAACATCTCAAGAAATACATTAAAATGATATGGAAAAAAGAGGAATTTTAGTGAAGTATCAACTATTAAACTTTTAAAAAGCATTTTAGTATAACATCAACTCTAATAGGCAATTAGGACACTGAACGTTCTGTAATTAAAATATTTATATGTTTTAGAGTAGTTTATATCAACAATCGGTGTTCAAAGAATACAATGTATTAAAATTTGATTAATTTTAAAGCTCAATTGCAAGTGATTTTTTGAACTATAGCAGTTCAGATCTTATATAATATTATGCTCTGCACCTAAAGCTTTACAGAGGGTTTAGAGAAAATGTTTCTGCTCCTCGGTACTACTAGTAGCAAATTTAGGGCCTCATTGGCTCTGAGGAATCCCAAATGCTGAAAAGTATTTCATTATGATCACTCTTTTTTGTTTTGTTTTGTTTTGTTTTTTGTTTTTTTTTCCGGTACCGGGAATCGAACTCACAACCTTGTGCTTGCCAGGCAGGCGCAGTGCCGCTGTGCTAAACCCCCAGCCCCTATGATCACTCTTATAAACTGAAATCAAGGTAGTTACCCTTTCTCAGAAAAGAGTGTTGGTAGATGACAGCAAATTCTAAAAGAAAAGAAGACGACTTTTCAGAGTCTGTATATTATTTCTCCCTATCCTTCCATCCTGCAGGGGATTAAAATAGTAAAGCTGAGCTAAGAAAAATCAGCTTGTATGTTTTCAATAGCATCTTAATTTCAAATTACAGCTCAAGAAGACCAATATTCACACTGCTTTGTGCCTGTGTGCACTAAATTATAAGACCATGGTGTGTTGGTGGAATCACCTCACTGTGGCTATATTCCAGGAAGTGCTGGCCTTCCCCTGACTGGCATTTCTAAGAACAATGTGACTGCTTAGGCCAGAAAAAGACAAACAGAAATGACAAAAACATTTCTATTAATTGCAATAAACAGTTCAAGAAAACATTAAGCAAATGACACATGTTCCCTAAAAAAGCAGGCTGCTAAGTTAATTCCTTTTGGATAGTTATTCCTCCTAAAAGCACACTTTAGTCTCATTCAGCCACCAGGTGTCTAGTTATTGAGTGTTTGAAACTGAAAACCTGTAAGCACGAAATTGCATTCTCTTCAGAAAATGTAAGATGGGAAATGTTAGGATATGCAGTACATATTATAGACAGGAAATACTAGAAAGGAAACTAGGAAAAATTCTCTCTTGCATTTTATTATCTCCTCAAGGGAAGTAAACACTTCTGAATATACTATCCTAAACAAATACATTATAACAAGAGAGATATAGAGATATGTGCTTTAAAAAAATAATTTCTTTTTTGGTAGACATATTGGTTTATTAAGTAGTTTGATCTAGACATAAAAAATGGCAGTATTCTCTTTATCATTGAATATTTTCAGGTAAAGATGGTCAGTTACCTTGAAAATGCTATAAGTTCTGAAGTCTACAGTACAGAGAGTATCATCCATATGGGGAATAATTAGTGGGGGTATACACCTATAGACCATCTTTGAACTCTAATACTACACTTCCTAAAAATAGCTAGTGCTGTGGACACCAGTAGTCCCAGCGTCTGGGTAGCGGGTGAAGAGTGGTAAGGCAGTGGTGTGAGGAAGGAGGATCCCTTGAGCCCGGGAGTTTGAGTGCAGCCTGGAGGTGTTTACATAATAATTCTCATCTTTCATCAGACAAGTGATGTTTTTAAAAATGTTACTTAGAAAATCAGCCAATTAAAGTGAATTTTAATTCTTTTTTGTAAGTGATCAATTCGATTTTATTTTATGGAAATACAATAATAATGTATTAAATAATTGAGAGGTACATACATTCTATAAAATACTTGAACTTATGGTTTCAAGTGCTAAAATGATAGGTCTCTTTATTGAACTGATTTAACATTGGCTTTTGGGATGGTTTCCTTGTTAATTGAGTCATCCTGTAGCAAGACAGGCAGATTTTAAAATGTAATTTATATCTGTCTTTCAGTTCATTGCTCATTTTAAGGATATACAGTAGTCTAATTTTACATATTATTTTTCAGCAGTATTAGGATGATCAAAGTAACAGCTGTTACTGAAAGTTTCTTTGGGGACTTGAGTGATTTAAAATAATGTGCCCAAAATACCAGTTCTCCCTCTTAGTTATGATCCTCCAGGCAGGCTTTACATCCATCTTTCAGAGAGCGAAATAAGCTGATGTTTTTATATGCCTTTTTAGCTGTGTCTAACAATTATATTTTGAGTGAGCTAATGAGAAAAAAAATATTGTTCATGTTCACTATTGAGTTTTAAGAAAATTTAAAATTAATGTCATGGTTTTCTCCGCTGTTAAAACAAACCTCAGAGATTTCACCCTCAGGCTTTGACAGCTAACAATTAACAAGGGTTTGAAGAATGCTCTTACCACCATTTCCCTCTTGAGAACTTTGTAAGCTTTGCATGTAAATGCAAACAAAAATTTTAAGGCTTTTGATCTTGGGGATTTGATCAAATCTCCAAATCTCCAGAGCAAATTTAAGGATTACAGGCTAAAACAAGTACACATATGAAAGCATGACAAATTTACAGTAAATATGTGGTATTGATCCCAAACAAGAATATGATGGATTTATATTTTGTGAGGACATTCAAGCCTGAATCATTAAAAAAACAAAAATAAATGTCACTGGGATGGGTTAGAGTAGGAAGAAGATGGCAGAAGTCTATCTATTGACCACATTCATATTCATATTCATTTATATGCAAATGAAAGAACACAGTACACTCAAAGACTTCATTTACTATAATCCTAAAAAAAAAAAAACAAAAAAACAAAAAAAAAAAAACCCAAAAAACAAAAAAACTTGTTCTAAGCAGAAAGAAATTCAATTCTAATCAGACCTGGTCACCAGGGAATTGATATCCCAAAGGCTTTTTGTTTCCCTTGTGTGAAGATCTGAGGGAGCTGGTATTTAACTGTGGGAGCACAGGAAGACTCTTGCTAAGCAAGACAATGACCAGGGTTGGTGGAATTACTATAGCTGCAAGTCGTGATTGTCATTCTGAGAGGCGATCTATGCATTCTCTCTTCCACTTAGTAGGAGAGGTAGCAGGTTGACCTGGTCATCCCAGGTTCAAGTGTCATTGATTGGTTGACATGGACAAGGCAAGATGTGAATCTACTTGATATTTCACTCAGCCAGCATCTTAGATGTATTATCTAAGTCTTTTTTCCCCTTTATTTTGTTCACAGTTTAGCAGCAGTAGCATGCAGAGACATATCACCTTGTTTGCATATGATAGAGACTCTCAGAAGAAAAAAAGGTTTTTCATAATCTTATATAAGCACTTTCACATTCCACAACTATTAAGAGAAGTTGACTGAACCATACCAAGTACCAAAATGATCAACAGTTGTTTCTAAAGGGAACATGATCCTGTTTCTTTTTTTTTTTTAAACCAAAAAAGGAAAAACCCTTACTAAGCTTTATTTAGGCTGTAAGGGTTACAGAGGACACATTTAACCCTGTATCCTGCCCCACCCACCCCTCACAGTCCCCCGGGCAGGCACAGAGTACCCTTCCCCTCCAGACTCACTTCTTGTCTTCCTCCTTCTTGTCCTTCTTGCCATCCTTGGTGGCCTGGGAGGCCAGGGAGCCCATGGCACTTCCGAAGGTTTCATTGTTAGGATCCATGCCTGGAAGGTTCTCTAGGACACTCTGAAGGAACTCTGGGTCCTGCATCACCTCATTATCACCCTCCTTGGCTGGCTTGGAGGTGCCCTTGGCTGAACTGGCATCCTTGCCAGCTGACTCTGCCTGACTGAACTGTGCTCCATGCAGGGACATCTGCGTGGCATAAGTGCTCTCTTCCTCTGTTATACTGCTGTTATAACTCCCTGTTATACTGTTATACTCCCTGTATAACTCCCTGTTATACCGCTGTAATAACTCCCTGTTATATTCCCTGTTATACAGGGAGTCCGGTACAGCTAAACTCCTGCTGGCCAGTGGTCATCTTCAGCTGGGCATCGTCGAAGTCTTCAGTCCCCGTGGTAGCGATCCCAGCCTCAGCTGCAGAGGCTGTGGCTGCCTCCCCCATTTCCTCCTCCCGCTGCTGCTGCTGCTCTTCCACAGAAACATGAAGGGCCAGGGCCAGCTCAGGATCAGCACTGGGATCCACTCCAAATTCAAAGTCACTGGCACCAAGCCCCAGCATGGCACCCTTGCCATCCAGAATGGGAGACCTGAGGAGCGCACCAGCTCTGGGCCCAGGAGGCACTGTCACCAGATGAGAACTGGTGCCATCTTTGCCATTCAGTGTGCTCACCAGGGCTGTGAGCCTCTCTGTGTTCTCCGCTTCTTCCCCAAAATTGGTACCAACATTCACTTTCTCTTTCTTAAGGTGGTTAGCCAGTTTCACCAAATTCTTCTCATTGTCCTCCATAGAGCTCCCCACAAAGGCAATGATGAACATCTTGTGATTCTTGCCCTCTCTCTGATTCAGAGCCACGTGGGCCACATGGATACCAGTGCAGAAGGTGACCTTGCCCTTGGGTTGGTTGGACAGTGTGGAGCTTGGAGAGGATGCAGCCGGTGTCCGGGGCGAGGATGGTCAGCACTTCACAGTCACTGGCCAGTGTGATGAGGCCCATGTTGCTCTCAGGGTTGCTGGGGGTCTTTGAGTGACGCACTGCCTTGAGAGCATCCTGCTGGTCTGCAGCTGAGTGGGCAGGAAGGCGCCACTGCACATATACTCACTGTTGCCCACACAAACCATAGTGCTTTTCGGCACCATCTTGCTGCCTTCCTCCCTCCATCTGTTTCTTTGGTACCATGAACTAAATTGTTGCTTTTATACACATTTTAAATACTGAGAAAATTGACATTTAATGAGAGATAGTTTCCCTTTGTATTTCCTGGGCCAGACACACAGCTCGGTGGCACAGCGCTTGCCTGGCAAAAGCAAGGCCATGAATTCGATTCCTGGTACCAAAAAAAAAACAAAAACTCTTTGGATTTCCCCCATGGACTTTATACAAATCTACTTACGTGAAACTTGAGAAATTAATTTCAAAATAAAAACCTTGTGACAAGGTTATTTCTGTTTCTGCATAAATACTTTTATTGCCTTCTCTGAGCCTTGATGTCTGAACTGAAGTGAAGACTTTCCCAAACTCAGTGGTGGGCATAAAAATGATTAAAAATCTGATAACAAGATTTGTAGGGAAATGAAAAGGCAACTGAGAATGATGTTTGGAAAGAAGCCAGGAGAGTAAATAGGGGGGAATTCTCAGTGAGGCAGTAATCACACTGTGGGTACATAGGAACCACTTATAGAACCACACAGACTTTGATCTTAAGTTCTATACTCACTTTTCTGGATAGTATGACTGATTACACTTACAGAACAGAACAGATACGAGCTCATGTATTTTTTTATTTGCCCAGCCACACATACATCACCAATTTTCTAAAATGTACATATCAAGTCCTATTGACTTTCACTGTAAATTGTTTCTGATGAAAATTTCTTGTAAAAAAATACTAGCCAAAGTATTTAAAAGGGTATAACTTCACATACTAGATTAAAGAAAAGTTACAAGACAAAACCCTCAAAACACAAAACCAAAGCAAAAAAACTTTCTACAAAAAATTCTTGGCTGACAGTTATTTTCAGTTAAATTTCCTTCCTTCCTTCCTTCTTTCCTTCCTCCTCCCTTCCTTC